GTGGCACTGAGAATTGAACCCAGTGCCACACACATGCCAGGCAAGCACTCTGCCACTGAGCCACAAGCCCAGCCCTAGTGTCATAATTTCTTAAGTTTTTTTCACTAGAAGCTTTAAAAACCTATAGAAGTGACTAACCTATGTATGGTGCCCATATTTAAATGTCTCTTTCTTTCTTCTTGCCAACCATGGCTCCTGCTGTCCTGACTGTGAGAGCTTCCTGAGGCCCTGGGGGCTGTGTCCTCCCTGGGGGCTGCACCCGCTTCCTGGCAGGGTTGTCCTCTGGGTTCTTCACTGGCCCTCTCACTCCCCGCAGGCAGGCACAGCTTCTTACCTGCTCAGGTGTGTCTGCTGATCCCGCCACACAGTGCAGACAGTGTCTGCTGAGAACCAACCATGTGCCTGTCCCCAAGTCAACGTGTGGGGGCGGGGTTCGAGCGTATAGAGACAACAAGGCTTGGCGTCTGCTGAGCAGCCCACGCACCCACTGCACAGCATGTTTTGCCTGAGTTGCTTGTTGAATTGCCTCCTCCCATGGAGATGTACACTTCCTAAGTTTCTGTTTTATACTGAAGAACCCAAGTCACTGAGAGCGTCTTCCAAAGCCTTCCCACTAGTGAGCAGGAGGGCTGGGGTTCCAACCCACGTGGCCCAGCTCCCAAACCCACTCTCCCACCACCTTACAGCAACACCCGGGAGGTTTGTGGGATTCCTACCCACCCCCAAGGGATCTGCAGGCAGAGTGTGTCACACGTGGTCAGTGTTAGGAGGCTGCAGACACTGCATCCAGTGCAGCTACTCCCAACCCTGCATCATGCTGAAGATAGCCCTCCAGGAGGTGGGTGTGCCACCCTGGGCGCCAGAGCCTTGGAGGGGAGATGCCCAACACAGGCCTGGGAGTCAGAAGGCACTTCGTGCTCTGACCTCTCTCATTCCAATTGGGACCTGCTCTGTGGCTCCACTGGGCTCACAGGCCATGGGGGAGGAGCTGCTCTTTGTTTCCAGGCAGGGGAGGGGTTGGCTGCACTCAGGCATTGCCACCATGAGCATCCTGACACCTCACTGCTCTGTTACAGAGAGTGTGGAGTGGAGACAACAGGACATGGCGGAGTCAGCTCCCATGGCTGTGGCCAGGAGCAGGGAGCCCATGGGGGAAGCGAATGGCCCATTAGCGCTGGTGGTTGTGGGAGAGAAAGGGAGAGGGGAAGCTTAACAGATGAAAAGGCCAAGCTGTGAGCAGAAAGCAGCACCCAAGAACAAAAAGGGCAAAAGCACCAACAGTCCCCGGCAGGGTCCCATGGAGACAGGTCGAGCCTAAGCACCACCACAATCTCCAGAGGTTTCTGAAGCACCCATCTCAGTCAGCGGGTCCCTAACTTCTCAATAGGCAGACAGGCCAACCCCCACCCCAGCAAGTGTTAGAGGTGGGAGGAATAAGGAAAGGAAATCATCGTCAGGATGGAGGGGTATTTTATAGGCTCCCTTCCGTACATGCTGGTCTCAGACACACGCAAGGTGTGAGACCCTCGGAGGCCGCCTCGCTGCTCTGACTGTGTTTCTGCTCTCCTCTGCTGCAGAGGTCCATCTGGAGGGCACAGCCCAGGGAGCAGTCATTTCCTTCCCACCAAACTGCGCTGGGCCACGTGGTTCCTGGGCTGCAGATTCCTAATAATTTCCCCAAATCTTCCTGCAGTTTGGCAAACAGGAAACCCAAACCTCAAATGACACCCCATAAAAATGCCCAAAATATTCAACTAAAAAATACCATCGACTTTCGTTTAGAATTTGTTTTAGAGATTCCTGCACTCAAGATTGCGGCCATCTATTTTTAGCTGATAAGCCTTAAGCTCCATTCTACCTAGGCCTGAAGTTCAAGGGTCTGGAAGGCTTCACAGATTGCCTTTTATTTCTGGCTTGCTGTGTCAGCCGGAGCTAAATTATTTAACTGAGCTGTGCTTGTTTTGGAGAAGTAACTCGAGTCTGTCTCTTGAGGGTTTCTAGGACACTTAGGGTAAAAGCCAGGCTGGAGGACATTGGCCGGGGTGACTCCTGCAGAGTGTCCCTGCTGATGGGAGTGTTGAGCATCGACTCGCTCTCCATGACTGCGGGTGATGGTAAGGTGCACCATCAGCTCACCAAGCAACCACCAGGGCAAAGGCAGGGAGTGGGCGGATTTCAGCAGCATCGTGACCATTGTGACTTAAGAACACACACACCCTAATACTGAGGGCCAGTGGTAATGCCCAATTGCCCAGCTGGGAGGCAGAAGTAGGACTAGGAAGAGGCGGTGGCTTCTGCTGCGAATATCACACAGAGCATAGCCACCTGCCTCATGGGCACAGCCCTGGCTTCACTGGTGCGCCTGAAACCTGGGACATGGGTGTGTCACACAGCACCTGCATCAAATTTCTTTATGAAATTCACTTTTTAAAAAGGGAGATATTTCATTCTTTTTTGAGACAGGATCTTTCTGAGTTGCCCAGAAATTGCTGGCCTTGAACTTGAGATCCTCCTGCCTCAGCCTCTGGAGCAGGTGGGATGACAGGTATGGCCAAGGTGGGAGGTTTTGTTCTTTTTTTAAAATTTATTTTTTAGTTGTTATTTGTTTATTTTTATGTGGTGCTGAGGATTGAACCCAGGGCCTTGCATGTGCTAGAAGAGCACTCTACCACTGAGCCACAACCCCAGCCTGGATGTTTCATTCTTAACCACACAGTGCCATGCCCCTTTCCCTGTGGCCTCCCTCCAGTGGGCTGTTCCTGTCCCTAGGAACCGAGCCAAGCAAGGGCTGCTACCCTCTCCTACACAGACTCTAGAGCCAGGAGAAAACTTGAAGTTCTATTGCAGCATTATGTAAAAGGAGAGAACCAAGGTTCAGAGAAACCAGTGACTTCTCTCTATACTTATGGTCATGGCAGAGTTGGGTCAGAAAGCGGATCTTTAATAGATGATGTTGACAATTGTTAGCAATCGCTGTGGTAGGATGCCAGTCCTCCAAAGGGGCAAAGCCCTAGGCACTATGCAGTACACAGCTGGTTCAGGTTGTGGAAATGGGGCAGCACAGATTGAGGGCGCACGAGGAATGCACAGCTGCAGGAACTGGATGTGTTAGATAAGCATCCTCCTCAGGGGAGACAAAACCATGCTCAGCCTGAGCAAAGGAGGGGCTTACTGTCAGTCCCCTTACACAGGGTGCCCTTCAGGAGGCCACCCTCCCAAACCCAAGCAGTGTGGTCCTGGGTGCGAAAGTGACAAAGCAGAACAGGAGTCAGGTAGAGCGGTGGTCAGGGACCAGCCTGTTCCCCCTGGAACTGCAGGAGGCATGACTTCCCCTGAAGTCACCAGAGAGCTGGGCTGGGTGAGTGAAGTCCTGCTTGAGTCACCAAAAAGTGCACTTTGAAGTGCCTTCAGTTGCACTTGGTGACTCTGGGTTCCATAGCCACTTTCTCCTGGGCTTATCAAAGCATTGCAGGCAGGATCGGGCTCCAATCACAGAAGGCAGATTAGGACAGGGTTGTCACCATCTCCCACTGGGGATACTGATGTCTGGGGCTTGCTGAGCCAGGTTGCTTAGTCCAGTATGGTGTCCATCTGGCCTCAGGTCGGCCTGCTCTTGAACCTTGTGGCCGAAGCAAGCTGCTCAGCAGGAGTAAGGCTGAACTGAAGATGCACAGAAGCCGCGGCGCCCGTGTTTACGAAGATCCCGCTTGGTTCCCATGCGTGCGTTTGTTATGATCCCAGACAGGGAAAGCTTAAGCAAGCTGCTGGGGCGGGCACCTTGTCCCTAGGGAGTCCTGACTTCCGAGGTCTGAGTCTCTTTGGGGCGCAGCGCCGTGCCCCTCCCGGTGGGCCGTTCCCCTCCCGAGGCTCCGGGCCACGCAAGGGCTGCCGCCTCCTCCTACCCGGGCCGCAGCGGCGCAGCGCTCGCCTCGCACTGGCAGACTCCGACCCGCTCCCTGGCGCCGGCGCGGGCCTGCGGTCTTTGTTTGGAGTACAGGGGAGCCCGGCGTCGCGCGGCTCCGCAGGCACAACATTCCTAAACACGGTTTCCGAATTTGCGTGGGTTTCCTGCCCGCGCGGACTTCCGTGGGCAGAGCCACCGCTCCAGCCCTTCCCCGGCGCACCCGCACCGCCCCGCGGTGGAGTCGGAGCCGCCTGGCGCGGGGATCTCGCATTCCCGCCGCCCTGCAGCCGGGACGGCCCCGCGTGGTGCCCAGCCGAGGCCAGCTCGCGCGCCTGCTCCGGTGGGACCAGGAAGCTGGTTCTGCAAAGCCCACTTGTTCTCGCCCGGGGTGCAGACCCCGAACCGCCCGCGGACGAGCACTCCCAGGCGAAACCAGGAGACAAAATGGCTTGTGCTTCGATTCACATGTAAAACCTCGCCCTTTGGCTCCAGGTTGTCCGACATTTTGTGACTGGCTTTTTTTCTTTTTCTTTTTGCTTAATCATGATTTAGGAAGCCGTGTCGCCGGTCCCTTTCTAAACGGCTGACCTTTTAGGACTTGGTTTTTGCCCTTTTATTCTGGCGAGCGGGGACCAGGGACCGAACGGCAGGGGCGGGGCGGGGCGGGGCAGGGCGTAGTGCTAATTCTCGATGCAGTCTCCATGCAAATAATGGGTTGTTATTAACAATGATCCTCCCTGCGAAATCCTCGAATTGCCCCTTGACTCTCAGCAGCGAGACGCTAGCCCCTATTCGCTGAGCTGGCGCCTCCCCCTCCGCCCTGTTACTCCCGGCTCGGAAAATTACAACTCCTGGGCGCGCGGCGCGGCGGGCGCGGGAGGCGGCGGGGCAGGGAGGGGATTCCCGAGCCAGCGGGCGCTCGCCCCCCGCCCGCCGCCGCAGCGTCGCGCGGCCAAGGTCAGGGGCGCCGCAGGAGCAGCGCTTCGAGCCAGGGACGTGGGTCAACGCCGGCCTCGGGGAGGCAGCCCTAGGCGCAGCTGGCCCGTCTGCAGCTGAGGGGCTGCCGAGGTGGCCCGGCACAGCGGACCCTGCGGGCGAGCTCGCGTTGCGCACGCGGGAGCTGGGACCCCACGGTCACTGTCCGCTGGCAGCGCTGTCCGCCGCCTCATAGTGCTGAACCAGCCCGGGCGGAGCGGCCTGCGCTCGCGCCCGATAGGGGCGGGGCCGGGGCAGAAGGAGGACTCGGGACAGCCGCCCCGCGGAGCCAGGAGCTGAAACAGAGCTGGCCAACCTCAGCCGACCGCTGGTCCGGTGTGCAGAAAAGGCTCGCGGCAGCCGGCGGAGGCGCTGCTGATTCATCTCCTGGAGCACCTCGCAGGCCACCGCGATAGCAGCCAACAGCCTCTGGACTCTGGCCACAAGCTGAAGGAGCTGGTGCAGGAGCCTTGTGGGCAGGAGGTGAGGACCCCTCCCTTCCATAGCCCCCAGGAGTCTTAGGGCGGTGGCCGCAGGACAGAGAGGGGCGTGCCCCAGTTTGTCAAGGAGGCAAACCCGTGTGATGCCCAGGCCTTCCGTCTCACCGGCGCTGACCACACTCGGCCCCCGCCGCCCGTTTCTGAAGCTTCGGCCATTCTTCCCCGGCCGCGAGCAGCTCAGACTGCGGGCGCGGCGATGGAGGAGGAGCTGAAGTGCCCGGTGTGCGGTTCCCTGTTTCGCGAGCCCATCATCCTGCCCTGTTCCCATAATGTCTGCCTCCCGTGCGCTCGCACCATTGCTGTGCAGACCCCGGACGGCGAGCAGCACCTGTCCCCACCGCTCCTGCTTTCCCGGGGTGGCGCCGCCGTCGCGCCCCCTCCGGATCAAGACACTGCAGCCGGCGCGGCCTGCGGCGGCGGAGCGAACGCAAACGCTGCGGGCGGTCTGGGCGGTGGAGCGGCAGGTGGCGGGGACCACGCAGACAAGCTGAGCTTGTACAGCGAGACGGACAGCGGCTATGGCTCCTACACCCCGAGCCTCAAGTCCCCCAACGGGGTCCGCGTACTACCCATGGTGCCGGCGCCCCCCGGCTCCTCTGCCGCGGCTGCCCGAGGCGCCGCCTGCTCCTCGTTGTCGTCCTCCTCCAGTTCCATCACGTGCCCGCAGTGCCACCGCAGCGCCTCCCTGGACCACCGCGGCCTACGCGGCTTCCAGCGCAACCGACTGCTGGAAGCCATCGTGCAGCGGTACCAGCAGGGCCGCGGGACCGCGCCGGGGGCGTCTGCAGCCGTGGCGGTGGCCGTTTGCCAGCTGTGTGACCGCACCCCGCCGGAGCCGGCAGCCGCGCTGTGCGAGCAGTGCGACGTGCTCTACTGCGCCGCCTGCCAGCTCAAGTGCCACCCTTCCCGGGGCCCCTTCGCCAAGCATCGCCTGGTGCAGCCGCCGCCGCCGCCCGCGCCACCTGAAGCGGCAGCGGCTCCGCCCAGCGCCGCTGCGACCCCCAGCACTGGCAGTGGCTGCAAAAGCCCAGGGGGCACTGGGGCCAGCGCGGCCCGGAAGTTTCCCACGTGTCCGGAGCATGACATGGAGAACTACAGCATGTACTGCGTGAGCTGCCGGAGCCCGGTGTGCTACCTGTGTCTGGAAGAGGGCCGGCACGGCAAGCACGAGGTGAAGCCTCTGGGGGCCACGTGGAAACAGCACAAGGTGAGCGCTGGCAGCGCCGCCCAGGCGCAGCGCGGGAGGGACCCATGGCCTCTTATGCAAAGTTGGCAGAGGGTTAGCCTTAGGGCCACGCAGGAACATCCTCGTTCATTCATTCATTCCAGCAGTTTACGATTAACCGGTGTTTATGAATCAGGTACCCTGAGCTGGTCATTGCAGTTGGGAAAGATATGAGAAAATAACTCATTAAGTCCCCTCCCACTGGAAACTGTGATTGTATACAAGCCACCCCAATTGCAGAAGCAGGGCTCTCACTCCCAAAGGCTAGTAGGGTACCCTGGAGGCCCTTCCCAATTAAGCCAAATAGGGTCTTCCCTCCATTTGAAAATAAATGCATTTTTAAAGTGCACATTACCACCTGGCTGAAGAAAACTGTCTGGGGACTTCCTGCTCAAAATCTGCTCTAAGGTGGGAGTTTGCACCCCAGCCCTGCCTGAAGGGATGCACTGTTGCCTGTTCAGCAGGACACCCTGTCTTCCAGAGCAGGAATTTTCCTACCCTCAGCTGTTCTTCAGCACCTTCTGTCCTCAAAATGCCTTTCAGCCTAGAGGGCAGATGCCTCCTTGGCACATCTGGGGTTGTGCCCTTTCAAGAAGGGAGTGTTTTCCCCAGAGACTCTCTCTTGCCTGGGACTGTATCACTGGGCCAGTGGGGTAGGGGTGGAGTCATAGGTGATCTCTTAATAAGGGGACCAGGCACACCTCTCCACAGCCTCCTTCCCCTGGGACTTGCTGGCAGCAGGAAGCAGAGTGTCAACCCCAGAAACTTACGCTGACAGATTTTGTTTGTTTTGTTTTGGCACTGGAGATGGAACCCAGGGGCATTTTACCACTGAGCTACATCCCCAACCCTTTTTAAATTTTTTATTTTGAGACAGTGTCTTGCTAAGTTTCTTAGGCTGGGCTTGAACTTGTGATCCTCCTGCCTCAGCCCTCCAAGCCTCTGGGATTGCAGGCATGCACTACTGCATCTGGCTTGTCTTCCTATCTTATACTTCAAGAAAGAGAAGAAACTATCAATATTTGCTTAGACCCTTCACCAGGCCCCAAAGGCAAGGCTGGAGTCAGCTCTAACCAATACTTAATCTCCCACCCAAAGGCCCAGTGGGAACCTGGGTTCAATACCTTTGGAGGTATTGGGCTGGGCAGGTTAGAGCCTATTGTCCAAGGTTCCCCAGTGCCCCTGGGCTCCTGATACCCTCATTCATGAACTCTTTCCAGTAAGCTCTCATTCTAGAGGAGGTAAGAGGTCTCCATACCATCCAACGGGAAATACTGTATGTGTTTTGATTGGAAAATAGAGCAATTTTCCAAGGCTACCTTATCACCCAACTAGGAACAGGCAGAAAGGGCCACACAGAAGAGAGGAAGAGACAACTGATTCTGTACAGATTTGTTTGTATGTATATGAAATATACCCAGTTACTATATATAGTTTCATCTACTATGATGAACATGTGTTGTTATTGTAATTTAACATTTTAAAATAAAAAAAATAGAAGAAACAAATAGGGAACACTTGAGGAATCCCCCTTGGAGAGGAAGATTTGCATGTGGATCTGAAGGAGGGAATGGGCCAAGTCCATGGTCCTAGAGCAGTGGTTCTCTGGGGGGCCCATGTGCAGATGTCCCACCCCACCCAATAGTTTTGGGAACCTTCAGGAGTTCATTAGCAACAAGGAAGCATGGCCCAGGAGGCTGCTGAGAGCCAGAGTGCAAAGTTCCCAGACACTTACCCAGCCTCAAATGCCAACAGTACTGCTGGTGAGAAACCCTGCTCTGAGGTTGCACAGCCCTGCATCTCTCTAGAGCCTGCAATTTACTAGTTGAATGAGTTTAGGTGATTTTAATCTAAAACGTTTTGAAAGTTATATCTAAGTGGATCCTTGTGGGTGGATTAAGCACAATTCTGTAGGTCTAGCCTCCAGCATACTACCCGACCCATTAAGTGGGATTGCTTTTGCAGTCCTGACACTTCAAATCAGAGGACTTGCAGAAAGCTGCAGGGCAGCAGCCTGAGTGCTGTTTTGACCTCACTGACTTGGTTATCTGGAGAAAATGTGAGCGGGTAACTTTGGGGTTTCTTGTGGTGAGCCCCCACCTAGCCTCGAGCTGACTGGGGACACCTGGCTTAAGTTCATTTTTTCCCATATGGCCCTTTGTTACATATACTTTGCAGGAATGTAGATGCCTTACTTATTTCATCTTTTAAGTGAATCGACATCATTTTACAAATCAAGAAATCATTGTAAAAAGGCTGTGATCAATTACCAAGACAAGAAGCATGAGTTCTAAATCTCACATTCTGGTTTCACAAGCTGTTATGTTTTCACAGCCTAGAAAGCCAAAACCAATTTTGGGTATTGCCACTGAAGTGTTCAGAATAGTGAGGACTGGAATGAAGGAAAGTCGATATGAGATTTTGCAGTTGTGAGAGATTCAGCATCTTGCATGGAAGAGGTGGATAATGAGCTGTGGTGCCAAGAACCAAAGCCATGCAGGGAGACTCAGTGGTCACCCCCAGTTTGGTGTCAGTGTATAAAATCTCTCCCCAACCAACAGTGCGCCAGCGTGAGAAGAAGCAGCAGCCAGGTGTCAGCTCAGGAGTGGGCAGGGTCACTGTGACTGTGCAGATTCTTGCATCTGAATTTTGTATCTAGTGCTGCTGCTTCAGGGACAGCCACGTCCTCCTGAATGGAGCCGGACACTGCGAGGTAGTTCTGGGGAGCTTGTGTTTATGACTGCAGGCAGGCGCTGCCGCCGTTGTTTTCCTACAGAAAAGGAGGTTGTTGAGCATGTGTTGTGGTGTCCAGGGACTGGACATGAAAAGACACATGGGGGAACTCATGGCTTAGCTTTGGAGTAGGCACCAGGGCCACCCCAGCAGTGAGGGTGGCTACTGAACGATTGCCTGCACACTCCCACTGGGCCATCCAAGTTCTTGTGAACCTTAACATCTTCGGGTTCTTGTTTTCTGTCTGAAACCCCAGCTCCACACTGGACCTCCTAGCTGCCAGCAGGACTCACCCCAGGCTCCTGGGCCCGGAGGGCCTCCCCCGCAGGCTCCCTTCGCCCAATTTCCTCTCCGACTAGCGATTCCTAAGGGAGGAGATACCCAGGTCTGTTCCAAAGCAAGGTTGATAATCACCTTTTAAACACAGAAATCTTTAGATCTTGGCTAAACAAATTCTATGTTGATTCCCCTGGAAGAGGATTAACTGTTTCTAGGAGCTTCTGACCTGAAGAAGACCCCAGTGGTGAGAAGACCACCACTTTCCAGACAGCATTGCCTTTTTTGCTACTGATGGTAGAGTTCTGCTTCTCCTGAAGCCAGGGGGAAGGTCACTGTGGCCTAGCCTGTCACAGGCCTCGATCACATCTGAAAGTCCTGCTTCTGGGGACTCTGGCTGATGGGTGCAGGTGGTTGGCCCTAAGTTAAGGTAAGGACACTGTTCCCAGCTGAGGATGTGGGACACGGGCTAGGCCTCTCCATAGAAGCGCATTGAGCATCTCACTGGTGCCCCAGGAATGCTGCTCCGGAGTGAGGGATGGCTCAGCCTGAAGACCTCAGGAGAGTCGGGACTTCCCTCTGGCCTGGAGGCTGTGCCAGGGGCCATGGCTTCCCAGCACCATCAGCATGTTCGGTAAAAGAAGTATTGAGGGGTTTCAAGCCTCCAGGAAAGACATCAGAAAGACCACACATGCATGGCAAGGCTGAGCTGTGGCCACCTGCACCCGGCCGTGGGGGACTCACTCCAACAATTACAGCCCCGTATTACCAGTAGGGCCCTCTCCTGAAAACTGCAATTACAGAGGAAGAAATGTGGCCTTAACTGTCATCTGCAAATTCTAATTTCAGAGGGAACACATCTAATGTGGTAGATTTTTTTCCTTCTGGAATTGCTTCGACACTCTTTTTTCTTCAAACTGCAATATAAACTTCTTTACTAATGGTACAAATGCATGGTTTTCCATGGCTGTGTGCCATTCTATTGAAGGGTTATTTTTTAGTTAATCAATATGTTAGTGCTGTGCAGAGGTTTCAGTCTTCAGCTGTGCTGGACGTTTCTCTGCTAAAACCCATACCTGACACTCCTGTTTCCTTGGGTTAGATTAGCAAGTGTGCGATTGCTATATCAAAGGGTATCCATCTTTTAGGTCTGAGTAATATCTCCAGATTACTGCCTGTCCTGTTGTTTCTCCCAACAGCAAAATTATGTCAATAGTAAAAAATTCACAAGGTCGGGGACCAGTAGGGTAAAGCACTGGTGTGGGCTGTCTTACTTCTAATAATTGTTTTCTGCAACTTTCACTTCATTTTTGTTAGAAATAGAGGGGATCACAAGTATCTAGACGTCCATATTCCTAACTAGTCAGGGGCCTTCTTCTCTTCAAGAGTTAATTTAACACGTACAGCTCTGCTGCCCTGTATCTTGGATTTCAGGGTCTCCAAGGTCCACCTGTGGTCTTTTGGAGTGGGGTTGGGTGGCCATAAGAAACAGTTAGAGAGAGAAAACACGTTGGCCAGTGACCTCCAGGAAGTCTGGGGCTCCAGCCTGCCTGCCTCTGCTGGCCTGGGGTCTGTGCACTCTGAGACAGAGCCTGGGGTGGTGGGGAGCTAAGCCTTTCACTGACTCTGAAGTTCTGGGAAAAGAAGGCTCTATGTGCCTGGCTGGCTCAGAGCCCACGGCAGGGCTGCCAGTCCTGGAGATGTGCCCATGGTGGTCCTGGGTGCCAAGGTCAGCACTGCAGGAACCACCACTGGAAAGAGAGCTCAAGTCATGCCCTCAGAGCCACCTCTTCCTTACCGCCCCACACAGCTGGGAAACTATATGGGAGAGGCCAGAACCCACAGCTTAAAGGCCTTCCTCTTGTCTTTGAAGACTATTTGAGAGTTCGAGGAGTTCGGAACTGAAATCAGCCTCAAAGTGTATGACAGGAGGTCCCTCTTGTCACCAGTTATGAGTATGCTAATAGTATGTA